AGGCGTTATCGGGAGTTTGGAGATTTAAACGGGCCCAGAAAGTAAAGGGAGGCCTGAGCCAGGACCCACGAAGCCTGTCCAGCCACCTCACCCATCGCCCTGTGTTCTTTGCACACATAGGGATAGCGCCGGGGGAAGGGGCAACCGCCTGCCCCCCACCAGCTTTCAGTGGGGAGCTCGGTGCCCACCTTGGGGTGGGCGCCTGTCCCTTCCCGCCCCACGCCTTCCTTCTGGGCTGGGGGTCCACGCAGCGCGGTCCTGAAGACGAATTAACGAGGTGGTTGCGGCTTGTACAAAGCACCTTTGTTCCCGAGCCCTCAGGTGGGGGCGGGGGAGGAGGCAGGTGCGTGGCCTTGGGATCGTGGGAGCCGCTGCCGGGCTCCACCCCGGCTCCAGGGCTCTGAGCACACCAGCCAGAGCCACTTTTCCCAGCCACCAGTCCGAGGGTGGAGACGGCAGGTTCTACCGCTTGGCTGGTTGGTGGGATGGTCGCCCCCAGGCGTTGGGGGCGAGGGCTTGGCGACTGGGGATAGCGAAGGGCAAGGGCGTACGATTCTCTTTGGCAATAGATGGTGCAGAGAGCCGCCCCAAGCTGGGCAGAAACAAGCGGCGGGCACCCGGGGGACGCCAGCGGCTCAGCCTGGGACTCCTGTGCTCCCCATCCAGTCGTCTGGGGCGACAGCGTCCCCTGGCGGCCAGACGAACCGCAGCGGGGGCGACCCGGACTTCCCTGAGCAGACAAACTCCGAGGCCAGCTCCTAAAATCTTCCGTTTATTACAACCGAGCAGAGACTGCGCACCCCCTCAGCCAGGCCCAGCGCCCAGATCTGCCTAACCCTCATCTGCAACTGCGTGCGCAGGTCCCCAGGGCGCCGCTCGACAGCTCGTGGGGTGCCTTAAGAGGCCTGCTCCTTGGCATCCAGGCTCTGGCTCCTTCCATCACCGCGGGGTGTGTGGAGGGGTACTGCAGGGGACCGGCCCACGCCTCTTTAAGTCCTAAGCTGGGTTGGAGGCAGGTGGAACTTCAGAAGAGGTCAGAGGTAGAGGGAGGACACAGCTGGGGGCGGCGGTGCAGGCCTGGGGTGCCGGAAGCAGAGAAACAAGGTCAGAGGTCCCCTTTTCCCAGACCACTCACCCTGCCCACCCTCCCACCCCCCATTTTCAGCGACCCTCCTTGCCCACCTGGAAGGTACCACTAGGGGTGGGATTCCAGCTCCTGGACCAGGCTGGTCACTTGAAGGACACAGGCCCTGGGGGTCTGCAGGGAGTGGCTTCCTGGGGGGTGGGGGCTTGGCAGGCCCCTGAGACTGAGAAAGAGAGAAGGGAGGACACAGGCCAGGGGGCCTC